CGCCACAGTCCACCGTGGCCCCACGTCAACCCCACATACCCAGCACCAGCTCGTCGGATCGCCCAACTCTCTACTCACCTTCCGACTCTTGCTCGTTAGCCGATCCTCTCGCCCGCGCTAACTCCAAAAATTCATAGAGAACGAGCGAATCGCGCTTGCAAAATTTATGGCAGGTGCATTTGCGCGAGATACTTGGGATTGTGCCTGAGTGGGAAGGAAGGAGGAGGAAGGAAGCACCTACAACTACATGGCCAGACCGAGGCGTGGGGACGTAGCCACACTCCACACATCGATCCGGTCATGCCATCGTACAGGCCAATAGGACAGGGGGAGAAGTATGCGCGGGCAGGGGCGCCACAAAAGATATTAAGAACGAGAGGATTACAGTTACAATAACGCCCGCCAAAACAAAAATTACAGTTACAGGTAAGATTAAGGCGCGTAAAAGTCAGAGCACAGATCCTAACGCGGCAAAGCATGCGCAAGCAAGAAGCGTCGTGCAACAAAATTGCAGTGTTATCAAATTCCTAGCCTAAATCCTAATTACGAAAAGAAATTCCGAGAGAAGAAAATTCCGAGAGCCTGCGGGGGCTCGACATTAGTTGAAAATTCAAAAAGATTTTCCCGTGCGACGATCGCGCCAAAATTCCCATTTCCCACAACCGAACAAGAAAGAAGTTATGGCAACAGTTATCCTTCGCGCTTGCTAAGGCGCGATCAACTACCAACCGTCATAGGACTATCCCGGCCTTGATTCCGAAAAAAAAAACAAGAAAAGCAAGGGTACCCATGCAATCCAACGGGCCATCCGGATTCAACCCCCGAAGTAGCCTTGCGCAGAAAGTCGCGCGGTTGCAGAAAGTTCCTGTGGGTGTCAATCTAACACCAATCTGAGCATCCGCAGGACAGGGTGAGGCCAATCAGAATCGAACCCAAAACCTGTCCCTTGTGATGGCGGTGCTGGGAGGGGTGACTAGTGGAACTATTTAGGGGCTGGAGAAGGGTAGACGACCTTTGGGGGGGGGTACTCCTCTTGTCCAAGAAGATTGGGTGATTGAAGACTGGGGAGCACATAACAGAAAAAATATGTAATCGAACCATAATATAACCCTGATAGGTACACAGGCTGGTCTAGAGTTCGCTTAGGTATAGACACTGCCTGCGGTGGCTCCGAGGAAACATTCGGTTCGGGACTAGTCTGGAGTGGCACACAGGCTAGAGTGGCACACAATGGATACGTGTTCTATTCGAGCAGCCGGTATCAATTTTTTGAAGTTTTGAAAACTCAAATACAACTCAGAGGCTTGGCCTACAGGTTAGTCGGAGAGGCTGGGGTCTAGCCTCCGTCCAACTGTGTCACACCAGCCTTCACTCAGGGCTGGCAGACTTTCTTTCTGCCGCAGCCTTTTTTTTGCGGGGGAACAAAAAGAAAACCAGGTCCATCTATTAATGGGGAGCATCACCTGCTGGAAACCGGGTCCAGCATCCCTTGGAGATATAATCTTTGATGAGAAATTCAAGGCCGCATAAGAAGAAAACTAGCAATACCCAGGTAAGCAGAGGGGAAGCAGAGCCCATTCGGACATACGAGGCTGGGGTCTTCTTACCCCGCACTGCTTCCTCCCTGTCTCTCTCTCTCTCTCTCTCTCTCTCTCTCTCTCTCTCTCTCTCTCTCTCTCTCTCTGTGTGTGTGTGTGTGTGTGTGTCTCTCTGTCTCTTTCTCTCTCTCTCTCTCTCTCTCTCTCTCTCTCTCTCTCTCTCTCTCTCTCTCTCTCTCTCTCTCTCTCTCTCTCTCGTGATCTCCGTCAATGTCATGGAGGAAAGTCATCGCGTGGGCATGATTGGAGCCACGCAGAGGTTTACATCAAGTGCAAGAAAACAAAATAGCTTCGAATGTGAAAGTGGACACTACCGTCCTTATGACTTGCCAGTCTTCAGTCTCTGGTCGTAATCACAGACAGATACGTTCATCACCGGCCGTAATTGGTGTTAGATTCGCCCAGGAAGATTCCTAGAAGGGATAAGACCAGTGGGACATAAAGCATAATGACCCTGAAAAAAACCTGAAAATTTAGGGCACTGTTAACCTCTTCTCACAAAAAGGGGCCATGACCAGGGGCACAGAAAGGCCTATGACCGTAGGACCAAAAGAGCTATGCCCAGTGAGACAAAAAAGGGAGATGACCAGTGGGATAAAAAGGGGCTATGACCAGGGGGACAAAAAGGGAGATGACCAGTGGGATAAAAAGGGGCTACGACCAGTAGGACAAAAAGGGGCTATGACCAGTGGGACAGAAAGGGCTATGACCAGTGGAACCAAAAGGGAATAAGACCAGTAAGACAAAATTGGGCTACGACCAGTGGGACAGAAAAGGGTATGGAGGCTGAACACGGTATGGATTCTGTCTTTTTTTTTTTTTACATTCAATTTGTTGCCATGTGCTGTGTTAAGTGAAGTTCCATGAGTCTGTGGGACAGAAGGGCTATTACCAGCGGGACAGAAAAATTGAAGTCCCATGGGCAGAGGGGTAGGGGTTATAGGGATAGGTGGGAAGGGTTGTGCGCAGACCTACGAGTCTGTACATTGGTCCGACTGGTCATAGCCCTTTTGGTCCCACTGGTCATAGCCCATTGTCCCGCTGACCGTAGCCCCTTTTCACCCCACTGGTCATCTCCCCTTTTTGTCTCACTGGGCATAGCCCTTTTGGTCCTACTGGTCATAGCCTTTTCTGTCCCACTGGTCATATCCCCTTTTTGTCCCACTGGTCTTATATCCCTTTTTGGTCCCACTGGTCATAGCCCTTTTCGTCCTACTGATCGTAGCCCTTTCTGTCCCACTGGGCCACTGGTTATAGCCCCTTTCTCTCCTGCTGGTCGTATCCGCTTTTCGTCCCACTGGTCATCTCCCCTTTTTGTCTAACTGCATAGCCCTTTTGGTCCCACTGGTCATAGCCCTTTCTGTCCCACTGGTCATAGACAGTTTTTGTCCCACTGGTCATAGCCAGTTTTTGTCCCACTGGTCATAGTCGTTTGGAAGATTGGGCTGCACTTTCTTATGGATGGTAACTTGAAACTGCAATGCGCTTGGGGAGACAAGATCGGAGGCGAACTTCAATACCAGCAAAATATAACCAAAGTTGATACCAGAGGTCAAATTTAACCATCCTAAGTAGTCTTTGAAAAATACGAAAAGAGAAACGAGGCCAAATTTAACCAAAGTTGACCAAAGAAACGACTTCCAAATTTAACTAAGTTTAACTGACCGCCCCTCAAACAGGTTAGAGCTGAGTTCAGTCTGATGGCTGCCGATCGGAATTTTGTTATGTACAGTTCAGATCTCATTATTGCACAATGCTATATGCTCTGAATCTTATGATATTGACTAGGAGTAAGTTCGGTTGTGGCACAAACAAGTTTGCAAAGGGCAACAAAATCACACGTGGGCAACAAACTCGTGCACCGAGTTTGAAAGGGCAACAAGAGTTTGAAAAGGGCAACAAACCCGCGCGCCCAGTTTGAAAATGGCAACAAACTCACGCGCCCTGTTTGGAAAGGGCAACACAATCACACGCGGGCCACAACCATTTTCAAACTCCGCACCAGATGTTGTTTCCCACACATGTTTTTTTTGCCCTATCGAACCTGAAAGTGTGACACTGCCGGACTTGTTTTTATTGACTAATTTGCTCTTGCAAGGAAGATGAGCAATAGCGAACTTCAGCAATCAAACAACATCGTACACATAAGACCAGATAGTCGTGATCTCGAACCAAGAGCAGAATTGCATCACGAGTTTCACCAAATAAGAGCACACCAAAAGCTCATAATTGATAATGCTGGAATAGTCTCATCATCATCATCAACGAAGAACCAATGTTGATATGCTGCACGCTTCCAGCACCACGTATGTCTCTCACATCACTCACAACCTCGTTCCCCAACACACAGATGCCACATGCACCCGAGGACCACCCTGCGCCACACCCAGCTCACAGCAGCGCAACTCGGCTATGGCTTCCTGATCCTTCCAGCTCGCCCGTGAGCGAGCGAGCGCTGGCCAGATTCAACGCAGCAGCGCTTGCGCAGCATGGAGCCAGCACCTGAATCTCCAATGCGGAGGCAAGCCCTTCGCTATATGGAAGTGGCCTGCCTGCGTTCTGCCCCAGGCTGCGCAAGGCCTTTCCCAAGAAGCTTCCGGTAGGCCCGGGTAGGCTGAGGCCCAGTCCGAAACAAATCAGGCCTAGGGCCTGAGGTGGTTGCTTGCGCCCAACTGCCTTCGGCCTGTGTTTGGCCCACATCCCGTATCCAGCCCAGGGCCTGCCTTTGATACATGCAAACAGGCGGCCCAGGGCATGGGTTCTTTCAACCAACTGGCGCTGCGCAACTGCCTGAATTTCCTTAGTTGCGTGGTGACCGAAATAGGGGCCCTCAGGTCCTCGTCGAGCCTGCCTTCACTTAGGGCGGCCGACGTGCTGCTTGACAGGGCCTGAAAGGGGCTCATCAAGGTTGTGGCCTCGCATTCCCTCCTCCATAGCTTCAACAGTCCTCTGAGAAACTCAGTCCTCAATCATCGGGCGCTTTCATTTCTGCAGAGATTTCTCGTATTGGGCTACAACCTGGGGAGCGATCTGCATGAGTTCCTCCCTGGTGAACCATCGATCTTCCTTTGGATCAATATGATGCCGGAACCGAACGCAGTACTGCAGCTTCGGTTTTGGAGGACGTCCCCTGCCGGTCGGTCTTGGCACTGGCAGCTCCCTGTGATCCACGATGTCATCGATGTCCACCTCTCCGTCCATGGTTGGGGGCAGCATTGAGCGACGAGAGGGAAACTGGTCTGTTTCCTTGAAGGGTGCAAGCTTAGAGGCGTGAAAGACAGGATATGTGCGGAGATGACCAGGGATCCGGATTACGTAMKAAGGCCCRTCCGGATCCRTCCCGACTATATCTAAGACCTCCCATGGTCCAAAGTATTGAGGCATGAGCTTGCGGGAGATCCCGTGCTCCTGTCCCAATTCTGAGGACTTAACCCAGACTTCGTCCCCAACGTGGAATGTAGATGGGCGGCGGTGTCTGTTTTCAGATTCTATCATTGTCGCCTGTGCCTTTTGCATTTGTTCTACTCCCTGCTGCATCTTCTGTTCGTAACGATAAGCGAACTCTAAGGTACCCGGTGCAGCAGTTGGCTGGTTCTCAGGGTGTGTACGTTAGGAAGGATGCATGCTGCATAAGTGTGGTCTGGTCTGAGCTTGCTCTGATTATCACATGCTTGCTTACCCCAACATGTGCCTATTGTCTCCTTCGCCTGTTGTGCAGGTCTGACTTTACGAAGACAGCCATGCCAAGAGGAGGGAAGGGGACACGGCCGCCTCAGAGGCCGTTGGGCGCATCAGGAGGATATGAGCGGCATGGGCCTCGCCAACGAGAGAGTACTCTAGTCTACAATGATGGGGACATCGAGCTATTCCTGGACAGTTTCTGGGAGCATGCGAGGCGTATGGGCTGGACCGTCRCTCAGGCGATTGAGAGATTGAGGGGAGCAGGTAGGTTCGAAGAGCCCATTGCCATGATTCGTAGGGAGGCGACGACGAGGCAGGAGGTGGAGATAAGGATGGAGGAGTTGCGACCCTCGCCTGTGGGACCTGATGGCAGGCCGATCAGCTTGGAGATTGGAAATGCGTCGGACTTCATCCCCGCGTTTGAGTGGTTCATGCAAGAGCAGGGCATACAGAGAGATGATTGGATGCAGACACTACCACTCTGGACCAGGAAGGCAGAAAGGCCACTGGCTATGCAGATCAGGGACATGGTACGAGATTGGGAAAGTTGCAGGGCACATTTGAGAGAGGCCTTTCGACGGTCAGAGCTCCTTCAGCCCAGAGTCGAGAGGCGGCAGAGGAGTCAGAGGCCGAGGAACCCTGAGCCCAGGGAGGCGAGACCATCTCGAGGAGGACGGAAGACCCTAGCCAGGAGAGAGCAGGAGCAAGAGGATGAGGAGCGAAGGGCATACCCTGAGTGTGGGTTGGGGCCAGTGGAGTTCCATCGTTTTACTGAGGGTGGATTGAGGAGGTTGCCAGCACACACACAGGGGAAGCCACCAGCGTCAGAGGGGCCCTTGAGGGAATTGGAGATGCATTTAGATATTTCTCGGTGGAGGGCGTTGCTTCAGGGAGAGGAGCATGGAGAACAGGCAGAGGAGGTGTCACGAGGGGAGGTGCCACGAGAGGAGGTGCCACAAGGGGAGATACCAGGAGAGGAGATGCCGCGGGAGGAGGTACCACAGGAAGAGATCTGGGGTACTCGGCAAGTGAGAGGGCTGGACGATGAGGGGAGACGTGCAGGGAAGGAAGTGATAGAGGTTGGAGAGAACACGCCCCCACAGACGCCAGCAGTGGGTTTGAGACTCGGGGATGCACCAGGGAGCACCTGGCAGGCAAATGAGGGGTTGCAGAGAGAGGAGACCCCTTTACCTTCGTCAGAAAAAGGCTCCTTCGCCAGAAGGGAGGGCAGAAAGGAGGAGAGAGAGGGCAGTTGTAAGGAGAGAAGCTTTGATCCTGATTGATAGGCACCTAGCAGCTCATGCCCTGGAGCACCCAGACTTGGAGGAGCCAGCACCTGCAGAGCCACGCCAGGAGTCATGCCAGCCCGAGAAGGAGATAGAAGCAGAAATCCCAAAGAGGGTCGATCTCCGCACGAGGGAAAGGGTGCCAGCTGGAGAGACGACCGAAGAAAAGAGGGCAAGACGAACCAGGCGGATAGATGAGATATGGCAGGAGAGGCAGAGGTTGGAGGCAGCTGGGGAGCTCCCGGAGCAGCAGCAGGAGAGGCAGAGGTTGGAGGCAGCTGGGGAGTTCCCGGAGCAGCAGCAGGAGAGGCAGAGATCGGAGGCAGCAGGAGCACTCCCGGGTCAGCCATAAAGCGCGTCAGCCAAGGCCCCGGAAATTCCTGAAATATGGAGAGACTTCTGGGAGGAGAGAGGAGAGGAGCTTCCATCGCCAATCAGAGCCGGGTTTGGGGTGGCTAGGAAGGCGGAAGAAAGGTTAGATCGTAAAATCAAGTTCCTGGCCAAGACCACTTTTGACCGGCACTTGTTATTGGAGGGCGATCTGGCGGGGAAGAAAATGAAGGAAGCCAGCCATGGAGTACGTCTGGAGGCTATGGAGGTGGAAATTCAGGAACTTAGGGCTTTGGTGGTCAGCCAGGCAGCTATCATTGAGAGCCTGAGGCAGCAAACCCAGGGAAAGGTGGACAGACTAGAGAGTAGCCGACAGGGAGAGCAGAGGCAGCCAGGACAGCCATCTACGAAAGAGCCTCACCAAGAACCGCCTATAGGGAGAGTTATCCTAGAGCCAGAGGAGGCGAGAGCCCAGAGACAGGCAGAGAGAGAGGCGTTCGAGTTTAGAGCCCCTACTGAGCTCGCGACGCTGCCGGTGGAGGCGGCAGGCCCAGTCGTACCTTTGGCAGTAGAGGAAGGGCTGCCACCATCTAGCAGTGAGCCGGCTCAGGGCTCGGCAGAGGGATCCATGGGCGTGCTCCTTGAGGCGGGGCATACTATGCAGGAGGAGGTGAGTTTGTTTTCACCTGAGCAGAGGATAGAGGAGCCTCTTGAGAGAGAGATGGGGATTGAGGAGGAGGGTGTCATCGAAGGCAGACCGCTGAGAGGGAGGTCATCCACGCGATAGAGATTATCCCAGGGTCTAGCATTCCAAAGGGTAAGATCTATCGGATGTCTCCAGGCTAGCTTGATGAGTTTCGCCGACAACTCAAGGAACTCGTAGAAAAGGGTTAGATCCGGCCGAGTGTTTCTCCTTATGGGTCTCCAGTCCTATTTGTACCCAAGAAGAAGGAAGGAACAATGGGGATGTGCATTGACTATAGGGGCCTCAATGCCATCACTGTCAAGAACAGAGAGCCCCTACCGCGCATCGATGACTTGCTAGATAGAGTGCAAGGGTGTCGGTACTTCAGTAAGATAGACCTGAAGTCCGGGTACGATCAGATTGCAATCCGGCCTGAGGATCAACACAAAACCACTTTTCAGACCAGGTACGGTCTGTACGAGTTTGTGGTGATGCCTTTCGGCCTTTGCAATGCTCCTGGCACCTTTCAGCACGCAATGAATTGGATATTTCATGACTATTGGGAGTTTGTCATCGTGTACCACGATGACATAGTTATTTTTAGTAAGACTGTCGAGGAACACGTTGCGCACTTGGATAAAGTCCTTAGTCTTCTGCGACAGCACAAATTCAAGATCAACGGTGAGAAGCGCGAGTTTGGCCGCCCCCGTGTCTTGTACCTGGGTCATGAGATTTCCGCGGAGGGATTAAAGTGCGATGACGCGAAGGTGGCCAGCATTCGTGACTGGCCGCGTCCTCTGTCTGTGACTGAGATGAGGTCTTTCTTAGGGATGACCGGTTACTATCGCAATTTCGTGAAAAACTATCGCATAGTTGCCGCCCCTTTGACTGACCTAACTCGCCTTGACGCCCCATGGGAGTGGTCAGACAGATGTGAGGCTGCTTTCAGACATCTGAAGCATGCGTTTCTTTGCAAGGTCCGTGGTAGTCAACAACCCGTCTCCCAGGCGGTATTTCCTTTGCATCCCCTCCTTGAACCTCTCCCAGCTACCTTGAGCCGCATCTATGACTTTCTTCGCCTCCTGATGGTAGCTGTGGAGGACATACTGAAGGATGCGTTGAAACTTTACAACATCCGGCCGCCCGACCAAAGCTTGTTCCACCCGCTCCAGCCATTCTGAGACTCTCTCCCCACAGAAATGGAAAGTATCGACCTTTGGGATGTTGCTCCGGTTCCTTTCATGTCGGTCGATGGCCGCGATGAGGTCATCGAGTGTCAGGCCCTTCTTGGGAACAACTGATGCGCCGCCAGTCTCAGGCATCTTGACATCCTTTTCTTTTTAAGTTCCCTGGCAAAAGAAAACAAGCACATCCCCTTATTCAACATTATACCTTGACCGGTCTATTCCATTCGTCCTACCTAACCCTTAGTACTTACTTTACCCACTGTTAACACGATCTTCCCTCATACTTCCTCTACTTGGGTAGGTAAATTTCCTCACCTACACTTAGTCATTCATATATTCCTTCATTACCTTCTCATCACTCCTTTATGC